AGTTTTGTCTAAAAATATTACATGTGTTAAAAATATTCCTTTTGGTCATAGTGACCATGACATTGTACTTTTAGAAATTAATGTGTCTAAATCAGATAATATTACTTTTGGGGAGGGATATTGGAAATTCAATAACTCTTTATTACAAGACAAAACTTTTATTAAACAGTTTACTAAATATTGGACTGAACTAATAGAGGGGTTTGACATGTATTTAGAACTTTGGGACCATTTAAAAGAACAAATTAAAAACTTTACTATTCACTATTGCAAGAAAAAATCTAATGTTAAGCGTAATATTTTACGACAATTAGAAAAGTCTTATTATCAAATGCAATATTTCGAAAATAAAAATCCTGGTCAGTTTATAGATAGATTAAAGGAAATTAAAAGTCAAATTAAAGAGTTTCAGCTACAAAATTACACCGGCTCGAAAATTAGGTCAAAAGCTGAAAGTTTAGATAATGATGAAAAACCGTCCAAATTCTTTTTTCAACAGGAAATTAAAAGAGCCAAACAGAAAACTATTACAAAAATTACAGAGTCTTCCAATACTTATACAAATTCCGGCGATATTTTGGGTGTTTTTAAAAATTTCTATTCTAAATTATACACGGACGAAGGTATTGATCAGGATTTAGCTGACGATTTTTTACAAGACGTGCCAAAATTACCTGACGATATTTCGGCCAGCTGTGAAGGTCACATAACAAAAGAAGAAGTTTTAATAGCGCTCCGCGATATGGACAATAATAAGTCTCCCGGTGCAGACGGACTTACTAAAGAATTTTACTCTACGTTTATTAATATACTTATTGATCCATTATTAGAAGTTATTAATTGTACTTTTCAAGAAGGGCATTTATCAGATAGTCAGAAATTATCTTATATTACTTTACTTTGTAAGGATCAAGAATTTGTGGAATGATATTGACCTTTAATTGAATTTGCAAAAGGCAAAGTTGGTTTCAGGTCGTTTTTGAAAATTTTTAATTGAATGTTATTGAAGGGGCAAAGAAAACTTTCGCAATGGTCAAAGTTCCAGTTCTGAAAATGTAAAAAATTATAGACCAATTTCATTGTTGAATTACGATTATAAATTGATATCTAAAGTGATTACAAATAGAGTCAAGAGAGTATTGGAACATATTATTCATCCTGATCAGACCTGCGCCGTGCCAGGGCGCACCATTTTTGATAATTTACATTTAATGAGGAACATTATTGATTATTGTGAACAAAAACAGGCCCCGGTGGCTTTTATTTCTTTAGATCAAGAGAAGGCTTTTGATCGTGTTAATTATGACTTTTTGTTTCAAGCACTTTCGGCTTATAATTTTGGGCCTTCTCTCATTCGATGGATTAAAACTTTATATACTGATGTATGTTCCTCTGTTATAGTTAATAATCATATTTCGGAACCTATTTTGTTACATAGAGGGGTGCGCCAGGGGTGCAGCCTGAGCCCATTATTATATGTTTTAGTTTTAGAGCCGTTCGCCATCAAAATTAGGGAAGACGAACAAATTTCAGGCATCAAGCTACATTAGGGAAGGCAAATTTCAGGCATCAAGCTACCAGGATCTTCTAAAACTAGTAAATTAAGTTTATACGCAGATGATAGTTTGGCTATTTGTACCTGTGACGCGTCCATAGAGCGAGTACTGTATTGGTGCTCGCTGTATGGACGCGCCTCAGGTGCAAAACTTAATTTACAAAAGACAAAAGGTATATGGCTAGGTAAATGGAAGAATAGATCAGATCATCCGTTTGGCATATCTTGGGTTGAAAATTGTAAACTTTTAGGGGTTAAATTTGGGAATAATCTTACTTCTGATGATATTTGGCAACCGGTTTTAACAAAATTTATTAAACTTTAAATTTATGGAAACAAAGATATTTGTCTTTTGTAGAAAAGTCTATTGTCGTAAAAGTCTTAGCTTGTTCTAAACTATGTTTTGTAGGCTCTGTATGTTTATTACCTGACCACTATTTAAAACAATTCGAAAAAGCAATTTTTAAATTTTTATGGCCTAGTACTACAGAACATTTAAAAAGAACTGTTTGTTATAATTATAGGAAAAACGGGGGGTTAGAAATTGTGAATATTAGTTTAAAATTACAGTCGTTAAGGTTAAAGCATTTACAAAATATTATCTATAAGGACCCTTCCAAATACTCTATTTTATCTGTATATTGGGTTGGTTTAAGTTTGAGATATTTTGAACCTTCATTTGCAAAAAATAATAGGCCACATTCAGAGTATATTCCCAAGTTTTATCAAGAATGTTTAAAGGATATGAACATTTTTATAAATATAGACAATAGTAAGTATAAAGATTCATTTTGTAGTTTGACTACAAAACAATTTTATACTGTTCTTTTAGAAGATGTCATCACTATACCTAGAGTGGTCAGTATATTTCCTAGTGTTAATTTTAAAGAAGTTTTTCAAAGGTTAAATAATCATTCTATAGATAAAAATGTCAGAGATGTAATGTTTAGAATTATTCATGATATACTACCTGTTTCTTTTTATATGCACCAAATTGGTTTTTATAAAGATAATAAAACCATGTAGAAACTATTTGCCATTTATTTTATGAATGTCAATTTGTTAAACCTTTAGTTCATTTAGTTAAAAATTGGTTAAATGTAATTTCACATGATGAATTTGTAAATTTCAATATGTCACATATTAGGTTCCATAATTTTCCATTTACGATACTGAACAAGGAAGTAGAATCTTTGTGTCTTTACTTAATTTCCCTAATGTGTTCTGTTATTTGGCAGGTCAGGTGCATTGTTAAATTTGAAAAGAAAAATATTAATTCAAATAGATTGATCTTAATGTACATTAGTAAATTAATTCAAAGAATTCAAAGTGATTTTTATAGATTTAGTGAGCCGCAGTTTTATAAATGCTGGGCCTTTACGCCTCTTTTCTGTTCCATTGATAACGGCGACCTTAACCTTAATGTCAGTGTGTAAATTCCTTGTATTGTCTGTGTCGTACTCCGTACTCTATGTTGTCAAACCGGTTTTTGTTTCATTCATGTTTTTCTGTGTTGTAGATTGTAAAGGTCAGTAAGTGTAAGTGTAAAAAAAGTATCTTGCCAAAAGGTCTGTCCGTTAATCATGGACGACACCAAACTCAATCTAATGGAAAGGACAATTAAAGTGTTTGTTTCAGGAGGTAAGCAGGAGGTTGGCGTGTTTGGTAGACGGGAGTTACTGCGCTTTGTGCGAACTATGGACGAGAAAGTCGAGCTACTGGCCCTCTGATAGATGGAAAAATACAACGTTTGGTATTTGACTTTCGCTGAGACCCGATTCGTAGACCGGTTAGACGGGGAAGTTGCCAGATTTAAGGACGGTGTTACTCTACATTTCAACGCCTGTGATCGGATAATTGTAAATGTGAGAGTACATTGGCTCCCTATGTGGGAGCCAAATGAGGATGTTACCTCTGTGTTATCCTCATATGGTGAAGTGAAATCTACACGTCACGTGATAGATAATGGAGTGGCCACGGGGGTAAGAGAGGTCGTCCTCTCCATGAGGGAGGGCGACCAGGACCACATACCTTATATCAGTAAGCTTCACGGACATAGGGTATTGTATTCGGTGGCAGGCAGACCCCCGGTCTGCTTCAAATGTGAGCAAGTAGGCCATGTGAGGCAAGACTGCCCGATTATGTCAGGTAGCCACAGAACTTACGGACCCCGTTCATATGCTACGGCGGTCCGTAAGCTGGCTGTTAGCAAGCCAGAGGCTGTCGGTAAGCCTCGGGAGGAGCCCCGGAGCTCCCCCACGGACAAGGGTGAGGACCGCGGTGGTCCTCAGGGAGAGTCGGTTCAGGCTGACTCTCTCCCGGTCAATCAGGAGGACCACGGTGGTCCTCAGCAGGAGGAGTCCATGGGTGACTCCTCCCACCCAGGATCACTTAATAATTCATTGTTACAGGATAAAACTTTTGTTAAACAATTTACAAAGTATTGGATAGAATTAATTGATGGTTTAGATTTATGCTTAGAATTATGGGATCATTTAAAAGAACAGATTAAAAATTTTACTATTTATTATTGTAAAAAGAAATCTAATGTAAAACGCAATGTTTTGCGAGAAATGGAAAAGTCATACTATCGGCTACAATATTTCGAAAGTAAAAACCCTGGTCAGTTTATTGATAGAATTAAGGAAATAAAAAGTCAAATTAGAGAATTTCAGCTTCAAGATTTCATGGGCTCAAAAATTCGGTCAAAAGCTGAAAGTTTAAATCACGATGAGAAACCTTCTAAATTCTTTTTTCAACAGGAAATTTCAAGAGCCAAGAAAAAAACTGTTACAAAAAATTACAAAAAGTGAATCTTCCCAAGAATATACAAATTCCGGCGACATTTTGGCAGCTTTTAAAGATTTTTATTCCAAATTATACACGGACGAAGGCATTGATCAGTGTTTAGCGGACGATTTTCTTAAAAGTGTACCAAAATTCGAACACCTGTGAAGGTCCTATAACAAAAGGCGAATCGCTAGTAGCGCTACGCGACATGGAAAATAATAAATCACCCGGCCCTGACGGCCTAACAAAAGAATTTTATTCTGTATTGAGTAACATACTTTTATATCATTTAGTTATTGTTGCAAACGAAGCTTTTAAAGAAGGACATTTGTCAGATTCTCAAAAACTTTCTTAAGGTCGGTACACACGGTAAGGCTTGCCTGATAAGTCTTGGAACTTAATTTCTAGCCTTACCGTGTGTACACCCTTAATACACGTTTTTCCGAGCCTTACATGGCTGACTTACGAATAGAGCACTGCTCTATTTCTTAATACAAGATTTAGCTGACCTTGCAATGTTAACCAATAAAAATCAATCAACGGAGTGTCAATCTATTTTTATCAAACCGAACACGTGGGTATATTTGGTGTATTCGAAAGAAATGGCCGTCTTTACAAACGAGGTCGTGGATAAACTAGTGAGCTTTTGCACACCTCCCAACCTTATTAATATTCAGGGTCATGAACCCAAGGGAGCATTCATTGCATCAGACATTTTCTTTTAACAAGGAAAGACAACTCAAGATTTCTCTACTGGTATAGTCAGTTTCTTTTATCAATTCATATACCTTTAAATTGTAATGAATTGGGGGAAAAAGAAAACAAAATATTGTGAGATATATGTTTTTATTTCATCAAGATCACTTCTGATCAATTTTTATGTTGAATAATTATAACATTACCACACAGTCTATTTTCAGTATGAAATACTGCACTGCATATGTATATGAATGTGTTAACTAAATATCTGTATAATAAATACAGGTAAATTGATTTTCAAGTATACCTGATTTCACATAAGCTACATATCTGCAGCTACTAGTACATGTAAATATTTCTGGAAAGTATCTATCAACATAATTATGTTCAGTTATTAACTTTTGTTGTTGTTGTTAACTGAATTCAACAAAAATAATTTTAACTGATATGCACACCATTTATATATCGATGAAGTAAAAAAATTATAAATCAATATTTAGATACCCTTCACAAGATCTCCAAAATTTGACTTTTTTTAATAAACAAAATTAAGTGCACATATACATTCTAAATATTTTTTTTCCTACTCTAAAAAAATTAAAGTTTCATTTTTTAAAGATAATCAACCTTATAATAAAATTCGTAGTAAAAAATATTCAAGTCTTTCTTTTTTACTGATCTGGTTTAAAATACATGTGTAATTACAATATGACTTATGTAATTCATATAGTTTAAGCATGCAATACCAGTGAGAGCTACATGTAGCTATTACCTCCCTTTTTTGCAAATATTTTCTATACTGTGATTGAATTAAAAAAATCAGTTTCAAGCTATAAATCTTAACTTATTATTTTAAAACCTATGAAGTCACCTGCATGGCACAGTGGCAAGAGCGTCTGCTTGAGAGTCATGAGTAAGGAGTTGATCCTTAAATTGCTGGTTCAAAATCCCACAGTCGGACATGGAGACGAGACTGTAAATACAGAGGTCCTGTGTTGCAGTAGGTGCTAGCACCGAAAAGATCCCTCATTGCTCAATTAGCCATGTGTGCCAAGTAAAGGACAAAATTTGCAGCTCTCCACCAGCAAATGTAAACTTGGCATCCCCATATGAGTGAAAAATTCTCAAGAAGAATGTTAAACAATGTACAATTAACAATAAACTATATAGTCTTTGAATATGCAAATTCTTTTTTTCTGAGAAAGGGATCCTCCAATGATGTTTAGATGTGGTTCATAAGAGTAGAAAAGTACTGTATCATCCAAGCTAGTCTTCATGAATTCGGCAACCATTTGTTATATGGCCTGAAAAGTATAAATTGTAAATGCATTAACATAAAAGTATATGATTGATGTTTTTATAATTCATTATAAATTAATTAAATGATTATAAAATAAAGTCACACTTGTTATCTTGAAAAGCTTATTGGACTGCTGAAAAATTGAGATATCCAAGAGATTCAGGGTAAGATATATAGAAAAAAAATATGTTGTTCAAGGGACTTTAAAATGACTTCGATATCTCAATGTGTTCAAGATATCACTCAGTGTCAAAGATATATACCAAAGTTCAACTCTAAACAGAGTATATAAAATCCATATACATGTACATGTATGCCATTTACAGTTGCTAATTCAATCTATCATTGTTCATTACTAATCTGAATGAGAAAAAGATATGCGCAAAATTAGCAAATTAAATTAACAAAAGTAAATCATATAAATGCAATTCCAAGTGTTTGCAAATCATTCATCCAATTTGTAATACTGTTATGAACATCAACATACCCTAGGTAGTCAAAAGTTGTTTGATTTTAAGATACTGTTGTTTCACTGTATCTGTATATTCAGACGGCACTGTAATCACTTGTTTTCCAACAGTACACAATTATCTGACATCCATCATTTACTATCATGATGATAGTTATGCCCCTTTTCTATAACCCCAAAATATTGCTTTCTTTCTGAAAATTGTAGCTTTTTTGACCTAAAGACTCCATAAAATAGGAATTTAAATATGAAAACTTATATTATTTTAATCTCTACTTAACTTAAAAGCCAAGAAATAAGCAAAATGATTTTCCAATATAAATTTACATAGGACTTTCAAGATATACATTCTGTTTCTAATTATGGCACATCCATTACCCTTGAATCTGGGATCCTGTACTAGAATGTACTCGTTAAAAATATATAATGTATCGTGCCCTGATAATCTTGAATAGATTTCATAATAAAAGGCTCCAGCCTTAAATATTCCAGAATAAAACTTTGATCCCCCACAGTGGACCCACCCTACCCTACAGCTATATGATTTGAACAAATCTAAATCTGCTCTTAACTATCTTAGAGTGACTAATCATGACCTGCCTAAGAATTAAGATTTAATTTTGTGTCTACGGATTACTATTGTTCTCTCTATTTTATTGCTGTGCTCTATTTACATCAATAACATATCATCACCAGTAATCAACATACCTTCTCTTTGGACTTGACATCCTTTCCTAGATTGTTGAAGATTTCATCACATAATTTGTTTTGTTACAGCTGAACTACAAATATGATTAATAAGTTAATACAATCCTCTTAATTTTTAAAATCAATCCAAATAAAATACAAGCATTTGCTATTATGTGGAAAAAATTGAATTTAAAATAATGACAAATATCAATGCACTACATGCAAATCAGAAAAATATGTAATGCAATCATTTACAGTTTGCATAATATGCTGATTATGTATCAGCATAAATTTCAGTTCATTAAATTTTTTGCTGAAACAGACAATCAACTGACAGGTATTTATAAATTCTCTTTTAATGGATTTTCTTCTGCCTTTGAACTTACATGTACTGTTATGCAGCATGATTTGAGAATTTTTTCACCCATTCTTTATTATTAAAGTATCTGCTGAAAATAGAACAGAATGTGATTAAATCTTTTGAGAATTAAACAAAAACAAAAATCACTGATGCATGATTTTCAATTATATTGACCCTTTTTATCAACATCTCTCTCTCCAACTAGATAACTTTACACAGGATTCTTTGATACATTGATATACCTGTACATGTAGATATTGGAGTAATTGGGCATGCTTAATATTTTTTCTTTGTTTATTCCAATCAGCATGATCGGGATGATAATAATTAAATAATAATGGTGCCTTTTAAATGTTCTAAATTTATCCTTACAATTACTGTAATACAATACTCACAACAGTCAAACTTTGAACTTGCACATCACTGTTTTCAGAGTATATCCTGCAAGAAACATTCATTGCACATTATGATTGCTTTGTTTGTTTTACTTTAATGAAATTATGATTTTTTTGCATTTAATACAGTATCATGCGCATACATATTGAAGATCATTTTTAAATTCAATCAACAATGTCATCTTCAAAAGAAAAGACATACATTGTATACATTTAAAGATCAGTAAAGCCCATATTTGAAAACGGGGGGAAAAAAATATTTTCTTGTGTGTATAATTTGTGTGGGATGGTGCATATCATTAAAAAAACAAACAGCAAAAAAAGGACGGAATGTCTCAATAGCTGACATTACAATGCAAGGCTAAAAAATAATTGAAGGCCCATGTGACTGGGGTCGGTGATTTTTTTTTATCTAGGCTAGTAAATGGTAGGGGGCATATGTATTTTGGGTCAGGTCTATGTTTTAAAAAAATACAATTATAGTTGGGCTAGTAACTTGACAGGCTTGTTTCAAAGTTCTGTCATTTCGGAATCCTGTTCTGTTTAGATTAATTATTTGTCCAACTGTGTATCACATTCAATAAACAAAATATAACTATTACATTTATCATGATTATTATTATCATGGTTTTGGGTCTGTCTGTCTATAGTAGCCTAGTGAGTTAGTGATATTATGATGAGCTGACCAGTAAAAAGCCTGAGTGAGCAGTGAAAGAAAACTATTTCTAGCCTGGGCCTACAATAATTTCACATTTGTGCTTCATTATATACATTTTCTAAATTCAATGATGTTTGTTTATTACCTTATATAGTCAATTGTGTTATTTTTGTCATACTTGGAGATGGCTGTTCAAAATGTACTCTAACCTGCAATAGACAAACAAAAAAGAAAATTACTTTTCATTTAACACATTGAAATAGTTAAACAATATGCAAATTAAATACATGTATTCTTACAAACAAAAATTTTCATAAACTACATAATATTATGTAATTGATTGTATGTTGTTTAGAATGTCCCTCTCAAGAATTTTTCACTCATATGGAGACGCCACCACTTGCTGGTGGAGGGCTTAAAATTTTGTCCTATGCTCGGCACTGAGGGCTTTTCCCATGAGCAGGAAGGGGTCTTTTTGTGCCAGTACCTACAGTGACATGGGGCCTGATCGATTTATACGGTCTCATCCGAAGGACTGGACTTCCCACAGTGGGATTCGAACTCGCGACGTAAGGATTGACTCCTTATTTCCCGACTCTAGAGGAGATGCTCTAAAAACTGTGCCACGCGGGCCACAACTGCGTATGTAAAGTTTCATACCTGATATATACACAAGTATGTGAGAACTGCATTGACATCATCTGATCATAAATTTTGTGATATTATATTACAAAAGTAACAACCATATATTGATCAGTAGGCTCTAGTGAAAACTGCATGATTGATATAAACAGCTGACACTATTAAAACTGCAAATAAATGTAAACAAACCTTTAATACTTTATCCAGGTACACATGTACATGTGTCGAGGAAATTCGGAAGAACTCATTGTGCATACACACGAGTACGGATAGAATTAAATTTTAGTCTCTTGGTGTTTGAAAAAACACCTATTGTTTTCACAAATCACTGGGTATTGATAAGTAAGAATAATGACTTTTATACGAGTAACTCTACATATACAAGCATAGTAGACCACAAGTAGGAACGAACTATAGCACACCTGCATCTTCTCTTCAATTTCGGACATGCTATTAACAGCATTTGACAAATATGCCCTAAAATATTTAGTCATTTTGTGCGACAGGTAATCGAAAAAATAAATGAAATTCTACTTACGAGTGTTTTTGTTTACTGAATCAATGTATGTGGGTTAATCTTTACGGACACAACTTCTCCCTTCCACGTGGAAACATGTTTACAAAATCGAGAGGTGCTGTTTTGACACTTTAAAGTGCAATAGCACTTGACAGAATAAGAAACTGCAAACCTACTTTCACTTTTCAGCTAAAGAAACGTTTGTTTTTCAACTTTTTGCAATTTACAAATTTTATAAATCGAGATAACATAAAGTTTTACCTCTTTTTTCATGTTGAATTTCTCTCTCGATTTTCACCTGTAGCATGTTGGTCTCGCTGAATTCTCGCGAGGAAAGCTGTTCGGACATTTACGGATTTTGTTAATATTTTATTACGTTTATCGCCGAATTCTTCCGATTTATGCAAATGAGGTTAGGAGGTGTGTTTTGGGAAGATGAGGAAAGTTTGTGGAATGTTTGTAGTGAAGATTACCACAAAAAAGATTCCAGGAACATATCTCTCAATAGAATTCAAGAAAATCTTAAAAAAGACACGGGCACGGACTTTACAGGTGTGCATTTTTTTATTTACACTTTCTTCTTTTCATTTCTGATTTTCAATGTCAAAGAGATCCGTCTGCAGTGTAAACAATTTTTCAAAATAAATTCCTACAAAAATTTCAATATAACTTGGAAATATAAAACATATTCTGTGTATCAATTTGAATTGATGAAAAGGTTGCCGTGGTTACTAAAAATAGAAATTTCTTTGAAATTCTTTCAAAATGCTACTCCTCCTACAGTTTTAGTCTGATTTCAGTATAACTTGGCACACAAGTAGAAAAAATAAATTCTGTGTATCGGTTTTTGATTTCGATGAATTTCCGTGGTTACTAAAAATAGAAATTTCTGTGAAATGCAAATGCTACACATCCTACAGTTTTTCTGATTACAGTATAACTTGGCACACAAAGAATACACTAAGATACATAATTCTGTGTATCGGTTTTTGGTTCGATGAACGGTGTTGCCGTGTTACTAAAAATAAAATTTCTGTGAAATTCTTTCAAAATGCTACTCCTCCTACAGTTTTGGTCTGATTTCAGTATAACTTGGCACACAAGTAGAATACACTAAGATACATAATTCTGTGTATCGGTTTTTGATTTCGATGAACTTGTTGCTGTGGTTATAAAAATAGAAATTTCTGTGAAAGTCAAAATTCTTCCTACAGTTTTTTATTTCAGTGTAATTTGGCACACAAAGAATAATTATACATAAATCTGTGTATGTTTTTGATTTATATGTATTTGCCATGGTTACTAAAAATATATTGTAAAATTGTTTAACAATTCTTTTCTCCTACAGTTGTGTTGATTTCAATATAACTTGGCACACAAGTAGACTACACTAAGAACATAAAGAGACTTTATCAACGATCATTATTCTATATATTGCTGTTGTAAAGTTTCAAATACATGTAATTTCAAAGGTAACTTCAAAAATTATTTTTACAATTGCCCCAAAACTATGTAAGGTATAAAGTTAAAACTTTTACAGTTTATAAATTTTTTTGTATAAAGTATCAATTTAAAAAAAAAATACTTTATATATCATGAGAAAAATTGTTATATAATGCATATATTTTCAAAAAAATACACCTAATTCTTGGATTTGTAAAAACCATCATTGCAGAAACAAAATATGTTTATCAATGAAGGGCAAGTTGGACTTGGATAGCCTCTGGAATGTTGTTTTCCCTGTTTATTTTGTCCAAATGTTAAGACGTGAAAGTGAAAGTACACTGCAAATGGCGGATTCTATAGGGGTCTTTTCTTTATACGTGTCATGCTTTCAATAACAGCCTTTTAGACATGTCCAAAATGTTTGTAATATGTTTTTTGATATATAGGTATGTTTGATATAAAACATTTGTTTTTAAATATTGTGATTTTAGATGAATTTTTTCAAAAAATGTTTTAAAAATATTTGTTATCAGCAGTAATACTTTCTATCTATTAATCAGTGATATATGTAAAGTCTTTATTTTGAGTTATAACAATAGTAAACAGATTATATGTACAGAATTTTTTTATAATCACAGGAAGTATTTGCTATAAGTTAAAAGATTTGATTTTCTAACGAATGGATAAAATTTCATTTGTTTCATTTCAAGATTTTCAATTAGTTGTGTTGCTCGGTTTAGAGTCTAGAAATGTTTTAAAAAAAAAAATAGAAATATAAAACTGTTTCCAATTTGGTTTGAGGCAAAACGTAAACAAATACTGTTGTGAATGTGTTTTGGCTGTTTCGGACATAAAATATGGTATTATTAAATATTTTATTGATAAATTATCAATACGAAAGTTGCTTGTCACATGTTTTATTCTAGTCAGTGATATTTTGATGTCAAAAACATTAAAAAAATAATTGTAAATCTTTACATTTTAAAAGGCCAAGATTAATTAATGAGTGCATGTATATGTAATAATGCATATATTGTATGTTTGATATATTTCTTTTCACTGAAACCCGCCAAATAAACATAACGTGTTTCACCTCTCCTGTTCTTTATAGATTCTGCCAGGCCAGGGTAACAATACGATATATTTTTCTCAATGTCCGAAAAAAATGCACTTGTTTAGAGAGGGTCCTTCATTGAGGAAAGCAATAGATGTGAATAAAAGATCCATATAAAGAATCCACTTAACTCTAGTTGAGAGAGAGAGAACGAGAATCAGAATGCTTTATTATACCCCCCGCTTGAAAAGCGGGAGGGTATATAGTAATCGTTCATTCCGTCCGTCTGTTACGCTTTGGGGTACCCATCTCTTATCCGCAACTCCTCTCATACCACTGAATGAAATTTGATGCAACTTTCACAGAATCTTTATTACATATTGCCATTATGCACCTCCTATTTTACTTTTTGATCAGACACATATTTTGGGTTTCCCGGCCACAGGAAAACATGGACTTAATTTTTCGCCAGTTATAACCATATGGGAGGCGGGGCCGCGGGGGTATCATTTAGTGAGCTCATCGCTCACAGTATCTCTAGTTTGTTTTAATATGAATAATCTTTTTTAAAGTTGTGTCATAATCATGGTTTGAAACACTTAAAATCTTTTGTTAAATTTTTTTATTACAGTCACCAAAATTAATTGCAAGCTACAAAGCTTGAGATGTTACTATGCCAAAGAATTAAAAAAAATGAGGTCAAGCAAAAAAAGCGGATCTGGAATTAGTGATGTATACACTTCAAAGTGGCCATTTTTTGCAACCTTGGACAGCTTCCTTAGAGAACAAATCACTCCAAGATGAGCACATTGGTAACAATTATTTATTAACCATATCTCATAAAATTATATATATATATTCAATTTGTCTTATCCCACTGCCAGGTCACTTGTCTGTTTGTGAAGAAATAATCGCAAAACTCGTCACGAATTTCCCTTGTCCCAATATTTGTTCTGTTTCCACCTTGACTTGACAAAGCAATGAAATTACCCTGGGGAGTTGGACCCCTACGCCAATCCCCTTGGATAATACTGATTTTTTCAAAATCCTCACAGTCCATACTTCCTGTGGGCATATATACATCCTGGGACTTTGCTCTTAAAAAATTATGAAGTGCACATGCTGCCAATACAATGCCTTCAACTTTTTCAATTTCTAGTGCAATAGGTGTCTGGAAAATTGCAAACCTGTATACCAAACACATTCTCTACAATACGACGCGCTCTAGAGAGACTATAGTTAAAGATTTGCTTGGCCGGATCATCAAGTTGTCGTGATGGATAGGGTTTCAGTAAATAGGGTTTCAGGGGGAAAGCCTCATCACCAACAATTATATACGGTGTATCATTCCGACGTCCTGGCAGTGGCTTTGGTGGTGGTAGAGACATGGTAGAATTTTCTAGGCGTTCATGAAGTGAGCATCTCGCAAAAATACCCCCGTCACTAATTCTTCCATTGCAGCCAATATCTATGTAAATAAAATTATAATCGGCATCAACAACAGCCATTAAAACTATACTATAGAACCCTTTGTAATTATAAAAGCGGGATCCGCTCCCCACAGGATTTCTTATGGTAATGTGCTTCCCATCAATTGCCCCTATGCAATTCGGAAAGTTCCATTTCATTTCAAAATCATTTGCAATACGTTCCCATTCTTCTGGGGTTGATGGTACCTAAAAAAAAAATAGAACAAATTGACAAAGATTGTTTTGTAGGATACAAGCAATACCTCCCAAAGAAATGATGAAGAGGATGAGAAAAGTGATGACAAAAAAACTGGAAACCATGAATTCAAAAAAGAAGAAAAGAAACTTGCCTGAGGAAGTAATGGAGAAGGCCGTTTCTGCTCTGTCGAGCATTCAAGCGCGGAAAATAGAGAGTGATGATGAGGACACTGTTTTTGCAAAACTTATTGCGAATGAGCTCAGAAAAATTAAGGATCCCAGAAAAAAATCTTTGTTAAAAATTAAAATTCAACAATTGATTTTTGATGCACAATTCAGCAATGTTACGTCTTCAAATTTAGCATCTTTGAGTTCATGTAATTCTTCCACAAATACAATGAATCCATTAACTCAGATGACTGCATTAATGGCCACAGAATTTGATCAATAAAGAAATGATTGTACTTGATTTGAATTTTTCTTATGTAAGAAGTGTAATTGTTTTTGTTGTTTTTTTTTTCTCCTTGGCACAGGCCAGGGGAAGTATTATTAGTTATCCAGGTTCAATCAAGGGTGTACGGGGATTTACCCCGGGTTTTATTCCATACACCCTGAGGCCGCAGGGTGTATGGAATAAAACCCGGGGTAAATCCCCGTACACCCTTGATTGGACCTGGATAACGAATTTATTTCCTTTGTACCTATAAAAATGCTTTGTAAACATCAGAATGTGTCTCAATCTATCGATAAGATAACGACTTACTACAATGCATCGTGACGTCATGTTATTTGGCTTTTATCATAGAGAATGTATGCATTGTGACGTCACGTTTTATTTACACCCGGCTCAAGTCGGGTGCACGGATATTTACACCCGACTTTGTGACCAATCAAAGCTCGTGTTACAAGCTAGATAGGAAATAAAGATATTTTATCCAAGTAGAACAACAGTTATTGAATAGCTGTGAAATCCTAAATTCTTCAAATTATATTTCCTTTCAGCTACATACAACTGTGTACACTCATAAAGAAACACTTACTTTCAAATATCTTTCCTTTAAAACATTATAAATGGCTGTACATGTTTCAGGAATTATAGTAGACAAAGTCTGCTTTGGGATTCTGTACAAGTACACGAGAGATTGATAAGTGTCACCTGCAATATAATATCAAGAGATTTATCATTTAATTTCTTCCAAATACCCGTAGAAAAAAAAATTACAGATTCATTCTCTATTTAGGCGATTTTCCGACCTACAGGCTAAAAAAATTATTTTTTTTATCCTTAAAAAAACCTCATAATCCAATTTATTAATAAATGTTGTGTAGTCAAGACCTGTATATAGGTCCTTGGTTTAGTTAATGATTCTGTAGTATTTATCATGATATAGGATAACAAGTGATGAATTAGCTATAGTATCGACCAGTATTAGCATTAGGTCTATGGGAAACTAGAGAGGTTAGGTGCGTATTAAAGAAAGGTAGGCACGCAAAATTTGTATTTTATATTTTAAAAAGTGACCATTAGCTTATGAACTACGGGGTAATGATATCTAACTTCCATTTTAACGGTAATTGTACAAAAAAAATTCTTATAATGGAGACTATTGCCTTATTCAAATTATTACATATTTAAAATTCCATTTACAGTACAATATCTTATTTATAAAGGAGAAAAAATATAAATTAAAATCAATTTCTAAAAATGTGACCGATATTTAATTCACATCGTTTATTGCCCAATCTGGAATGAGACTCTTCGATACCTTGTCTTATATGGACATATTGATGCAAAATGAATCACGCATTTAAACATTATTTAAAGTTTTTTTTTCTTTATTTGATCGCCATATTTAGTCTTAAAATCACATAACTAATGTGATCAATGTTGAAAAAATAAACACAAAAGTTATTAAAAAAGGGATTAAATTCATATTTATAAATCATATACTTCATCGTAGCAAAGCGGCTTTACAGACAATCATTCTCTGTAGCACGTTAAAAGTATCTTTATACATAGTTTAACAATATTGGTACATTGGTATATTTTCTTTAAGAAATGCTGCACATTTTAATTTAGAGATGGAGCATTTTATGTAACATATGTAAAATATTTAACCTGTTGCAAGAAACCTTAATGTGATGGAGAGTCTTTCTGCTGGCGGAATGGCATCTCTCATGACTGTGTTTCGTCTCTTTATGTGTGGAGTTACTAAATGTAATAGCTCCATAAATGAGTCTTCATCCATGCGGAGGAAGTTTCTGAAGGCACTGGGATCTTCTAAGCTTAGTTCCTGCAAAAATGCATTATGTGCACCATGAAGAGATCTTCTCTGTATCCAGGGGCGCGTCCAAACGCGTCTATTCAACCTTTTTCTTTTTTTAAGGAGCACGAATGCAGTTGCAAGTAAAACTACTGCTACTGCACCAGTAGCTTCGTCTTCCATTTTGAAAATTTATGGATTGTTTTGGACTAAAAACACGTGGAATTTATGGTAATGTTGTTTATAATCTTATAAGGTTTGCCTTAGCGTGTGTACAGGACAGCCGTACGGCTTGCAAAACTTAAGTTTTTAGACTTATGAGGCAAGCCTAATCGTGTGTACCGGCCCTTATATCACATTAATTTGTAAAGATCCCGAGAATGCGGAAAATGTTAAAAATTATAGACCTATTTCTTTGTTGAATTATGATTACAAATTAATTTCTAAAGCAATTACAAATAGAGTTAAAAAAGTTTTAGAATATATAGTACACACTGATCAAACCTGCGCCGTGCCAGGGCGCACCATTTTTAATAATTTGCATTTAATGAGGAACATCATTGATTATTGTGAACAAAAACAGCTCCCAGCGGCTTTTATTTCTTTAGATCAAGAGAAGGCCTTTGATCGCGTAAATTATGATTTTCTTTTCCAAGCACTTTCGGCCTATAACTTTGGACCTTCTCTAATTCGATGGATAAAAACTTTATATACAAATGTATGTTCCTCAGTCATTGTCAATAATCATATTTCGGAACCTATTACTTTATTTCGGGGGGTGCGCCAAGGGTGCAGCCTGAGCCCATTATTATATATTTTAGTTTTAGAACCATTCGCCATCAAAATTCGGGAAGATGATAAAATTCCAGGTATTAAACTACCGGGTACTTCAAAAACGGCTAAGTTATCATTATTCGCTGACGATAGTCTGGCTATTTGTACCTGTGACGCCTCCATAGAGCGTGTACTGTATTGGTGCACGCTGTATGGAAGTGCCTCAGGTGCAAAACTCAATCTACAAAAGACAAAGGGTATTTGGCTGGGGAAATGGAAAAACAGATCAGATCATCCTTTTGGCATTTCATGGGTAGAAAATTGTAAACTATTAGGAGTTAAATTTGGTAATAATGTTACTTCAGATGATATTTGGCAACCTATTCTTACTAAATTTGTTAAAACTTTGAATCTTTGGAAACAACGAAAAATCCATGGTCGCAAAAGTATTGGCGTGCGCTAAATTGTGGTATGTAGGTTCAGTCTGTTTGTTACCTAATTATTATTTACGACAGTTTGAGAGAGCAATTTTTAAATTTTTATGGCCTTGTAAATATGAACTAATTAAGCGAACAGTATGTTATAATTACAAAAGAAATGGTGGTCTGGATATGGTTAATATTAGTTTAAAACTTAAATCTCTAAGGTTAAAACATTTACAGAATATTTTAGAAAACAATGATTCTAAGTACACTTTTTTGTCAGTTTATTGGATTGGCCTAAGCTTAAGACAATTTCAACCTTCTTTCGCAAGTAATAATCGACCTCATTCAAAAACAATTCCTGTTTTTTATCAACAATGTCTGAAAGATTTGAAAGAGTTTTTAGAAATCAAAAATGATAATTACAATTATTCATTTGGCAATATGACAACTAAACAATATTATACAATTTTATTCAGGGGCGTAGCTGCCTATACGCCAGAACGCCATGGCGTGCACATCTTTTAGTCCAAAAAAAAATTACTGTGCATTTTTATAAAATTTATATTCATATTGCTAACCATGCCGGTAGCAAGCGCAACTGCAGAGAGGTCCCTCAGCGTTTTGCGGCGACTGAAAACGTACGTCCGTTCCACTATGAGAAATGACAGATTGTCATCGCTTGGACTTCTCCATATTCACAGAGATTTTAAAATTGATATAGAAAAAGCAAAGGAACAATTTGTTAATTCTAAATCCAGAAAATGGATTTTGGAGAATTTTAGGTAAAGGCTAAACGATAAAATACGAAACATGACGCCGCACGTTTTGGGGAAATTAAATTTGCTGGATTGAAATTGTTTTGTTTTATTTTCATTATTTAAGAATTAGACAAAAAATGGAACTAAAAATACCTTTTTAAAGTAATCACAAAAATTCAGGCAATGCACATGATTTTATATTAAAAAAAAAAAAGAAATATTTTTTAAATATTAATAGATCTATTATTTTTTGGTTTCATAAATCAAAATATCGCGAAGTTGACTTCATCTCGTAGCAAACGTTATATATTTAAAAATACCGTAAATTTTGTTCAGTCTAAACGTGAAAACCCAGGAGCTTCCGGGGGCTTCGCCCCCTAGACCAACTGGGGGCATCAAGACCCCCTGCCTTTTTTGGCGTGCACATCATTTACGTCTAGCTACGCCCCTGTTATTAGAAGAGGTTATAACTAAACCAAGAATCATTAAGATTTTTCCAAGTGTTGATTTTAAAGAAGTTTTCAGACTATGATTTTATAGATAAACATTGCAGAGATGTTATGTTCAGAATTATTCATGAAGTTATACCTGTTACATACTATTTACATAGATTTAGAATTTGTAAAGATAAAATATGTCCATTATGTAAAACTAATACTGAAACTGTTTGTCATCTCCTCTATGAATGCACATTTGTAAAACCACTAGTTATACTTGTTAAAAACTGGTTAAATGTAATTACACATGATAAATTTTCACGTTTCAATATTGCGCATATCCGATTTCATACTTTCCCTATAGATATTTTTAACAAAGAGATTGAATCTGTATGTTTATATTTAATATCCTTGATGTGCACCACAATTTGGAAAGTTAGATGTTTAGTTAGATTTGAAAAGAAAAATATTAACTCAGACAGATTAATCCTGATGTACATTAATAAATTGATTTTTAGAATAAAAGCTGATTTCTATAGATTTGATGAAACTAAATTTTACACATATTGGTTACGCACTTCTCTGTTTTGCTCTGTCAACATTAATAACCTTGACTTTAACATTGGAATTTAATGTTTACATGTACTACCTGTGATACCCGTTGAACCGGTTTTGTTCCATTGATAAATTTATAACGTAAATTCCATCGTAGTAAATACAATCTGCTATGTCCATCTGTTTTAATATTTCTTACAAAATAAATGTCCATCGATATAATTTCAGTATTAATATATAAATAATATTTTATGTACATCAATTTCATTCATCCTCTGCAATAAATTTGTACATCCAGTAAATTCAGTTAAAACGGAAAAACACAACGTATATCTCTTTATATTTATATAACGCTCGTTTTAACTTACACTTTGTTAGTAAAGTAACACTGTTATCGTTTATATAATTGTTTTAAAATGTACATATAATGTAATATGTATTTGATTCAATGAATAAATTATTTTAATAAAAAAAAAATATATATATATAAAGTTTTTCGAAGCTTCTAATGCAGATATGACCAGTCTTGACGAGATGTCAGAAAGTCTTCTAATGGCTCACACCATTAAGATGTCCTACAGGGGGACAACTCGTATGTCCAGAAGAGATGTCATCAGATTCTTTACCGAGTTCCTGGAGACCGAAGACATACAGGCTGTTTGGCAAATGCAGAGAGCAGATTGCTGGTACATCACGCTGGAATCCGAGGAGTGTTTGAACCAACTCGACAACAAACAGCTCAAGCTGGATAACATCACGGTCATCTTACAGGCATGTGACAGGCTCATGGTAAACGTGCGAGTACACTGGTTGCCTCTTTGGATATCAAATGAAGATGTGAAGAAGACCCTAGAGAAATATGGAGATGTGGTGAAGTTTGATTGGGTGAGGGAGGATGGCGTCATCACTGGAGTACGATTAGCGATGATCCGGATGAGGGAGGGGGACCAAGCCTTTATTCCCTACATAACATCTATCTACAGCCATAAGTGCCTGTACGTGGTCCCGGGTCGGCCCCCTGTGTGCTTCAAGTGCGAGGGGGTCGGCCATCTGAGAGGGGAGTGCCCAAACTCCAGTTTCAGGCCGACTGGACCCCGAAGTTTTAAAATATCTGTAAAAAAAATTCTTTCCAAAGTAAGATGATTTTATTATTCACTGAGATTTATAAAGAAGTATTTGGGAAAAGAAACAAGACTTAAACACTAAAGAATTGTGTGTTTTTTATTGTAAAGAGAGTTTTTCGGAGCCGAAAATGGGCATCGCTTCTCGGCCTTTTGGCTAAGATCAATGTGTATGGTCTAGTCATTAGTTTGTGGAAAACTTTCATCATGGATGATACAATGCTGAATTTGATGGAAAGAACAATTAAAGTGTCATTACAGGGTTCTCGTTAGGCAGTTACAGGATTCGGCAGGAGAGAGTTACTGCGCTTCGTCCGGGCGATCGACGATGAGGTTGAAGTACTGGCAGTGTGGCAGATGGAGTGTGCTAACACGTGGTATGTTACCTTTACACATACTAACATTGTAGACCGTCTTGATGGAGAGGTAGTGAAGACCGATGGCCTGACTCTGTATATGAACGCGTGTGACCGTGTCACGGTGACTGTACGGGTTCACTGGTTGCCTATATGGGAGCCTAATGAAAAGGTGACGGAGGCTTTAAGTGTATATAGGGAAATTAAGTCTACCAAACACGTCTCTGAGAATGGCATCGCTACTAGTGTGAGGGAGGTTGTCTTCTCCATGAGGGAGGGTGACCGATCCCACATCCCGTATTTAACCCAGATTTCTGGGAACAAGTGTCTGTTTTCGGTGCCCGGCAGGGCACCGATTTGTTTCAAGTGTAACGAAGTGGGCCATTTGACACAAGATTGCCATTATATGGCAACCGGTCCCTCATTTTATAAGCCACGAAGCTACGCTACGGCGTTAGATCGTCGGCCGTTAGTAAGCCAGGACAAGTGACCGGGGAGGCTGTCGGTAAGCCTCGGGAGGAGCCCCGGAGCTTCCCACGGACAAGGGTGGGGACCGCGG